TTACTGTGATTACTAAATAGGTATTTTTAAAATATATTATTTAATTTTAAGAAAGGCAGTTTTAGCCTTAATAAATCAAAAAGAAAAAATGTTAAGAAAACTTTGCTTAATACTTAAAACCAGGAAACAGGTTGGGATTCTGTTCGAATAGTAGGTACATGGGCTTGTCCACAATTTGAGAGAAGACAAAACTCCTTAACACTGGAAAACAAAGAATGCAAGGTCAGTAATGTTTTAGTCAAGTCATAAAATTCTATTTCACCAGTTCAAGCTCATGTACTTTATCTTCTGTTGTGGTCCAATTTTTCCATTTAAATTCTGGAAGATAATGTTCAACTCTGGACTTGTCCCTTCCATTAAGCTGGCCAGCATTGGTGGTATAGTGGTGAGCATAGCTGCCTTCCATTAAGCTGGCCATTTTCTTAGCTGTTTTACAACTCTTATTTCTGTGTGTCTGACTTTAGTTTTCCTGGGATAATACTTCCTTCAGAACTTCTTGGAGAGCTGGTCGGGTGTTGGTAAATCTTTTTCTTTTTTTCCTTAAAGATACATGTCCTTAGTTTACTTTATGTTTTGCACCATGAAATAGAAACAGTGTCACAAGAGTATAGCACTTTCCATGGCTACCCAAGAAAGTATATATAAATGAATAGGAAGTTTCTTTATTTTATTTTTTTTACAACTAAGGTACAAATTTATTTTGGTACAAAAACTTTTTGAAATTCATACATAGTTTTCCCATTACACATATTTCCATGAGATATTTTTTCCCTCTAAAACTTTTGTTTTTTGGGAGATTTTTGCTATAGAGTGGGTGTGCTTGCCAGAAAGAGAGAGACAGAAAATAAGAAATCACCCACCAAGTGGGATGACCACGCCACAATCCCTTTTCCATTCTCCTTTCAAGTTCTTGTTTCCTGTATGTTTTGCTTCCCCCGCCCCCTCCATCCTTGATTCCCTATCTCTTACCCTCAGCCATCTCCCACTCTCTTCTCACACTGTCTCTGGTATCTATGTTTACTTTCTATACTAATTTTCCCCCCATTTTTTATTGAATTACTAAAGCTCTTAATTAATCTAAATATTTTCATAGCAAACACAGCTGATATATACATTTCCATGAACACACATCTAACTTTAGCATCCTATAAAGTATCACCTAGCTGGGGCTATATATCTTAACTGCGATCATCGAATGGATATTTTTTTTTCTGAAACTTTTCTTTTTTTTGTAACTTAATCTACATTCTATCCCTAAGCATCATCATAGCATACAAAATGTGATTTTCCATCTAGAATATACTGCATAGTGACTTAATCATGCATATTATTATCCAAAATTTTCTACCCCTCTTTCTGACCCTCTGTCCTTTCCCACCCTCTTCTCACATTGTCTCTGGTGTCTACAATTGTCTTCTATTCCTTTTCCACCCACATTGTATTGATCACACAATTTCTTAAATAATCTACTTTCAATGGTAAGTTCATATGGTACTATTAAGAAAACCAGCTTTAACTTGAATTATAGAAATGCTAAGGTACTTTTCTTAAAGCCAGGAAACAGGTTAGGATTCTGTTCAAATGATATGTGCATGAACCTATCAGTCTCACGTACTTCATCTATCTTCTGTTGTAGTTTGATCTTCCCGATTAAACTCTAGGATATAATATTCCACTCCAGACTTGTCCCTATGATTAAGTTGGCTATTTTCTTAGTTTTTAAACTCTTATTTCTGTGTGTCTCTATTTAACTTTCCTGATATAGCACTCCCTTTAGAACTTGTTGGAGATCTGGTCTGATGTTGGTAAATTCTTTCAGGTTTTGCTTATCTGAGAATGTTCTTGTCTTTTCTTCCCATATGAAGGATAATCTTGCCAGGTCCAGTATTCTTGGTTGCAATTGCTTTTTCCTTAACACTTTGAATATATTTTCCCATTCTTTCCTTGCTTGCATTGTTTCCGATGAGGTCTGCTATTAGCCTGATGGGATATCCTTTGTAGGTAAGTTGCTGTTTTTCTCTTGCCAATCTTAGTATCTTGTCATTGTCTATGGTTTTGTTCAGTCTGGCTATAATGTGTCTTGAAGAAGATCTTCTTGGGTTGATTTTATCTAGGGTCCTTTGTATTGGGCTGTATCTTTGAGTGTCTCTCTAGGTTTAGAACATTTTCTTGTAGGATTTCATGGAATAGATTATCAATGCCCTTATAAGTCTCTTCACCTTCTGGGATACCAATTATTCGAATGTTTGGACTTGATGGTATCTAGTATTTCTCATATATTATTCTCATTTTTGGGGGCGTTTTTTTCAGTCTTTGTGGTGGGTTTTTTCTAGTCCAGCAATTTTCTCTTCTACATCTGAGATTCTATTTTTTCTATATGACCTACTCTGCTTTTAATACTTTTAAGGGAGATTTTTGATTTGATTTTTTTTAAAGTATGTAATTCCTCTTTTAGATCTTGTAAGAATTTCCTCACCTCCTGGAACTCATCAGCTCCTTTCTCCTGCCTCTTCTATAGTTCATTGTCTCTCTTCTTTTCTATCTCTGTTAGCTTCATCATTATGAATATTCTAAATTCTTTATCAGACATTTCCATGATTTCCATTGAACTCTCTGTAGATGAATAGGAATTATTCTTTTCCCTTTGAAGGAGAGGTATTTTCTTGCTTTCCCATATTTGTTGTGTTCCTGTGATGATTTGTAGTCATCTGATGGTTGGTGTGTTTTTTCCTAATTCTTGAAGTTCAATCTGAGTGTTCAGGAGTGTGCAGAAGGAGGTGATCTGGAATCTCTTTGCTGTTCAATGTTTATCCCTTTGTGCAGCAGATTCAGTGAATATTGAAGAATATGTTAACTCTAACAGTATTTGGATGTTTGACTATGGTTCCCTTAGCTCCATCTAGGAACTCAGTGAATAGAGATTGAGGAGCAGAGTGATGAGATGAAAGAAGAAGAAAAAGAAACAGAGAGAGAGAGAGAAAAAAAGAAACAGAGAAAAAGAAGAAAAAAAAACAATTTTTTTTAAAGCCAAAAATAAAAAGCCCATGGAGTGCAAATGTGCTGCACAAAATCACTAGTTCTTAGGAGCCACGGAGGAGTCTTCTTCTGAAGACCTGCCCTTTGCCTCTCCTGGATAGGAAGAGGAAAGGGGATTATTAACAAGATAAAGGGAGGCTGAAAGCCAAGAGAATACTTTACCTTAAAAATTTTTAAAAAGGAAAATTACAAAAAAATGAGAAGACAGAGACAGAGGGAGAGAGAGACAGAGACAAAGTTAGAGACAGAGAGAAGGCTAGAGGAGCTCCCTACCACTCAAGTTTGGGGACTGGAGTCTGAATTATCAGTAGAAAATCTTCGTTTCTCTCTTTTTTTTTTCCCTGCAATCACTAGTTCTCAGTCTTCTGAAGGCCTGCCCCTTGCCTCTCAGTGTTGGTAAATTTTTTCAGTTTTTGTTTATCTGAGAATGTTCTTGTCTTCTCTTCCCACACGAAAGATAATCTTGCTGGGTATTAACAGTATTCTTGGTTGAAATTGTTTTTCACTCAACACTTTGAATATATTTTCCCATACTTTCCTTGCTCACATTGTTTCTGATGAGATGTCTGCTGTTAGCCTGATGGGATATCCTTTGTAGATAACTTGACATTTCTCTCTTGTCAGTCTGAGTATCTTATCCTGTGGTTTTGGTCATTCTGGCTATAATGTGTCTTGGAGAAGATCTTGGGTTGAGTCTTTAAAAAAATATATTATTTATTTATACATTTAATCACATTATTTAGCTTACAAAGTGAACATTTCTATTCTTTGTATTTCTTGGGACTGGATCTTTGAATGCCTCTCTAGGTTTGGGATATTTTCTTCCAG